TGCAGGATTCCATCTGAGATACCTGCAGTCCCTGTTAGACATGATCTGACAAAGATGTTATATGTGGGTGGTAATCAGGTAACACAAAACAGCAAGTCTTGCTGGGTGTGTTGGCGCATGTCTACAATACTAGCTACCTGGGAGGCTGAGGCAGGCCAATCACAAGTTTGAGCATAGCCTGGGCAACTGAATGGGACCCTGTCTTAAAAGAAAATTAAAAAAAGAACTGGAGATAAAACTCAGCACTTCCTGACTTCAAGTTCCAGTGAAGAAAAGAAAACAAAACAAAAATAAAAATGCCTACAGGTTTTCCATATGAAATTCAGAGGCATCTTCAAAAATACTTCTGCCCTATATACAAAAGAAACAGCCACTTCTCAAAGGAACAATACAGAGTTCACTTTTAAGAGAAAACTCAATGCTGTAAATTACAAGGAAATCCTTTCCAATGACAATCATCCATAAAATAAAGACCACAGGAGGTGTGTAAAGTGGTCCACCTGACATAGGCCGACAGCAGATGGGCGGGCAGCTCGGGGCCACAGGGGCTGGGGCGGGGGGAAGACTGACTGACTGTTCATCAGATGGAAAGTGTCAGTTGCGTGAGAGGAAGCCGGCTCTGGAGATGTGGGGCCAGGCACAGTGCTCAGTTAACGATGCTGTTCCAGACACTTCAAATGCAAGAGTGATCTCATGTGCTTTTAATCACAGTTTTAAAAACGTAATTAAGAATGAAATCTGGGCTGGGGAAATAGCTCAGCGGCATGAGCGCCTGCCTGGCAAGGGCAAGGTCCTGAGTTCGATTCCTGGTACCAAAAAAAAAAAAAGGATGAAATCTGGAAGTTGACCCAAGATGCACGTACACATACAAAAATTTTTATCACTAAAAAAATCAAAAGGTAGAAAAACTCTTAAAAATATTTTTGGTAATAACGCTGATCAGAAAACTCGTCCAATGTTCAAGACCAAACGTGTGGCAACAAGAGGACTCCCAAGGTTCAGATTCTTTAATGTTAACTTCGAAGCCACTCAAGAATTATGCTCTTCTCTTTTAAAAATCAAGAGGGCTGGCTCTCTGGCCAAGAAATTTTTTTTTAAAAAGTCAGGGGTGGTGGCACGTGGATCACAAAACAAGAGCAGAGAACTCTTACATCAAAAGTCAGCGCAGGTTTGTTGAACACCTAGTATGTGACAGCCATTCTCCTCAGTGTTAGTGACACAGGGGTGCCCACAACAGGCAGTGAGATAAAGCAGACACACAAGATACTTTCAGATGACAAAGCTGTCAATGAAAGCTACAGGTGACTGCATAGAGGCAGAAGCCCACTGCAGACACAGTGATTAGGAAAGGCTTCGCATAAGGAAGTACCACACGAAATGAAGTGACTCTCATAGGATTCTAAAGGGATGTCAAAAATTTACACCGTAAATGAAATTATGTAATATACAAAACCCGAGTCTCAGAAAAATCCTTCAGTCATGAGACACGCCCAACCAGGAAAGGGGATTACAGGGCATATGAGATTATGTACTATTTTTACAATTTCCTATGGCTTGATAATTTATTTCAAAATTAAAAGTTAAGAAAATTCTATGTGATTATGACTATAATTAACTGAGATATCTTCTCTGTGTCAGGCATCTCTCACTCTCCCTAAAAATTACCCCATGGGAGTAAACTCATACAGGGCATTAACCACTTACCAGTCCAAATATTTAAATAAAGGATGAACAAAAACTGTGGATAATTTTTCATTAATTTTTATAAGACAGTATAACAGGAAAAATGACACTTTTATCAAATTTATTCAATATGAGAATTGACTTGTTGAAATCACACCTGTCCTAGTGATGCTCGCCATAGTCAGTAGGTCAACAGATGTGCTGCCGGGGCAACGCTTGGGGTTAAAGGTCAAGTGGTCAAGAAAACAAATCTCCCATGTAGCAAAACGTCTCTCTAAAAATACGCAAAAAAATTAAATAAGAAACTATGCAGATGACATATTTAAAAAGATAAGGAGACTGAAAGGAGGGTAAAAAAAAAAGAGTCCTGGGGATTCTGTCCTCACTTAGGATGTACCTCAGGAAACAGTGCAATAGCAGGGGTCAGGGGTCAACGCATGACAGGGAAATTCTCCTGCATTGTCTGTCCGCAGCGACCGAACAGGCAGAAATCACACCAATGTCTATTCCAAATTTTCACTTCCTGAGATCAGAAAAAAAAAAAAAAAGAAAGAAAGATGCAATCCCATTCGAGGTGGAAGAGCAAGAAACAGACAGATACCCTCACTAGGTTTGTTTCAGGACAGCAAATGTAATGAAAACCATTTCACACTAAAATCCGCACATCCATTCACACAATGGAATCTTAACACAAACCCAGGGAACGTGGAACAGCAGCCAGAGGACCAGAGAACCTCTGAGAGGCTGAGGAACTGGTGGCCACGGGCACTGTGGAGGCAGACGCAGAGGCAGACATAAACTTACAGGGAGGACCAGGGACGTATGCTCCAGAGGTGGGGCTTAGGGCCCCGCTATGCCATGGGCTCTGGACAAAAGGTTTCCTCACTAGCAATGTGAGCCAGCGAGTTCAGGCTGCGGGTGCCACGACAGTGCAGGCACACAGGCCAAGGGGAAGTTTATGTCCCAAATACCAAGCTTCCCCCGACCTTTCTTCCGCTTTACTTCAAGATGCTCAAAGGCTTAGACTTGTGTCTTATGAGCAGAAACTGGTTCATTCTCTGGGGAATCTACCTAGGTCTTGGGGGAAAACATCACCAAAACTAAACAGCTTCCCACGAGCCCTTAGAAGCTCCACTCTTCCACAGCACAGGAGGGGTAAGGGGGAGACGGACAAGGCCATTCTGTAAGGCAAGATGAGACACAATCAGACCCAGAAAAAGGCAACCTTTCCATATATGGGGATTAGACTGCTTAGGGAGATAAAAATCTCAAAAGAAACCTTGGAGTGATGAGAAAAAATACACCCAAAAGAGGACAGAAACTAGCAAAGAAGGAAAAACCTCTTAACAATGAAAAATATAACGTTACACATTAAAAAAAAAAAAACCTCCAAATAAGGACAGCAGATTCAATTGTAGTCAACAAGGAGGCAAAACACAAAGAAAAAAATGGAGGAAGGTAAGAAAATAAGAAGCACAAGAAAGAAAAAACACAAGGAAGATACATTAAATTTTCCCAAAATTAAAGGATGTGAATTCCTAGCATTAAAAAAAGTTCAACAAATACTCAGCATAATCCACAAAAACATATCAGTTCCAAAGCATGATGCCATGAAACGTAGAACAGCAGAGACAAGAGGATCCTAACAGGTTCTATAGGAAAAAAAAACCAGCAAACCCTAAGAATCAAGAGTCCAGGCACCCTCAGAGTTGCACAGGAACCCAGATATATGGAGAAACTCCTCTCTAAATCCTAAAGTAAAATTATTCCAATCTCGAATCCCATTCCCACTGCAAAGAGGACGGACTGATACAGAGCTCAGCCAAGCTCGGGTGCTGCTTCAGGGATGACGGCTCCCCACTGGCTCAAGGAGTGGGGAGGAGTGCATGGGGAAGGAGGAAGGGCAAGGCAGGGCGGCACCTCCCCACCAGGCAGACCTCCTGGACACTTCTCAGTAGACAGGCAGTGGGCCCAGGCCTTCTCTTCTCGCTGACCCCTGGCTCTATCAGTCTCGCCTGTCTCAAGGTCACGCTAGTAATGGGATGTGTTCCAACGGGACCTGACAAAAGTCATCATAAAAGTACCCCTTGCCTTGGAATGAGGAAGGAAGTCACTTTATACAGTATGTTAGTTATTTTTCCTCCTGGCTAAGACTAAATGCCCAATACCCAAAGATAAAGGAGGAAAGGCTTATTTCAGCTCATAGTATGTAGAGGTTTCAGTCCTGGCTCCCAGGCAGGGTGGCACGGCAGAGAAGAAACAGTCCATGGCAGGCAGAAAGCAGCAAAAGCAAGCCAGCGACCAACTACAGTAACTAACTGCAAGTCTCTTTCTGTACCTTATAGCGTAGCCAGGCTGCCTGCTCTTAGGGCAGACAGCACTCATACCCTTAATCCTAGCACAGCACCATGAATCAGTCACACACCCTAGATCCAGCCACCTCTGAGAAAGCCCCACCTATGACCACATGAGGCTTCGGGGCGTCATCCAGACATAGCCATAACATACAGCAGTAAAGATGTTTTCATGCCTCAGATATTTATAAAGAACACAAAGACCAGAAATTCCCTACATTCTTTCCCTTTAGAAAAGATGTTCACAAAGATGAGGAATTTGTGAAAGATGCTAACACAGGATTTATGAAACAAGATCCTTACCAGAGAAACAGAAAGGCAGCCCTGGGATGATGTAAATAAAGATGCAAAGGTGCCAACAGGAAGCAATCCTGCAGACTACAGAGACCCCAGCCGCTCACGGGCCAGCAGGAAGAAGACAGACACAACTACCACTTGTGAGTTTCCTTCGATTGTGGAAATCAAGAAACACTGTACCAGTGCAGCTTAATCCAACCTGAGATTTAGATACGTGAACATGAGCAAGCGTCTCCCACCATGTGTGCAGCATCACAAACAAAGGACGTAAATAAGAGTGTGGACACACTAGCGGACTAGGCACAGTGTGGCGTGGCTGAAATACAGAAAAGCAAACAGGAAATTAAAAAAAAAAAAATCCTAAAAAATACACAGAGCCAGATCACAGATTTGCCTTGAGTATTATGCTAGCATTTGGACTTTGTTAGAAGGAGCTGGGAAAGGGTGAAAGGGTGGCCCCTGAAGGTGGCAGCGGTCCAAGGAGAGGGCTGGGAGTGGGTCTGCCCTGCCCGGAGCAGGTGGTGAAGCCCACACAGCAGAGAAGGGAGGCTGGTAACAGACGCAGCGTGCTCAGGCCAGGGCTTCCTTCCTACTTATTCTGAGGAGCACTTCTGAAGGCTAGCTACCCATCCGAAGAAATCACTGGGGAGGCTTCTGAAACCGTACCTGTGGATTTGTTTGACGCTCTCCTTCGAATTTCAGTCACCATCAGTCGTGAGACTTGTGTTGTGAACTGCAGTAGATCAGAAAATTTTTCTGTCATTGTATTCGGCGGAGCGTTTCCAAAAACCTGTGGATGAGAGAAAACATTCCTGATGAAACACTGTGAAACCCCCTTTTTCAATTGTACAAATTCCAAACTGCGGCACAAACAGAAGATCAAGTCAAATAAGCACAGTTACAGAGCTACTTTGGGTGTGATTACACTTAAAACACATCTCTTTTAATAAATCACGTCTACCCACATTTTCTTAACATTTTAAATAATATGTTGAATATATAACACAAAGGCCAAAAACACTAGCTGTAAAATTGGAATTAGAAAACACATACGTTCTCTGAGGAAACCTAAATCGGGGACTTAGCGAAGCAGGGCATTCAGATAAGCTGGCTGTCAAACAGCAGAGACTGACCTCCTGCCACGTTCTAGGATGCACAGATTCAGCTCGCCTCATTTTACATCTCAGAATTTTAAATTCCACCCAAGGTAATTTGCAAGACAAGACTATTATGAAAAAGACAGACAAAAGGAAATGATACATGGCTCATAAAATAAATTGTTTTCACAAAAAAAGTGAAGACAAACAAACTTCAGAATGATCAGAACAGATCATTCGTAAAGATAAAGGGTACGGGAAGATGGGGATAAGAAAACGAATCCTTGGGGTTTCAGCATAGGCACAGAACTGGTATGTGACAGCTATACACCTAGACATACCTTGAAATAGTGCTGTAAAAAGTGTGCTTTATAACTGTGAGAAAACCCTTTATCTTCTAAAGCTACTATCATGATTATCCATCACATCAGAGGACTCACATACTTATTACCATTTAAATGTCTCTCACTACAGAGCGAGGAACCGTAGTTTACTCATTGTAGGATTCCTTCCCAAGACGTACCTGCCTTTTTCCTCCATGTGGTTGTTTCTGGGTGGCTTATGCCCACAACCACTTTCTACAGAATATTCAGGAAACATTGAAGGAGATCATGAACACACAGGTAAAAGGCAGAAAATAAAACAAGCAAGTAAATAACAAAAACCCCAGGTGAAGGAGACAGACTGGGAGAGACCAAAAAACAAAACAAAACAAAACAAAACACAACAAAACACAACAAAACACCTGAACAGAAGCCTAAAATCAGTACAGGCCTGTAATCCCAGGTACTGGGGAGGCTGAGGCAGGACTGCCAAGTTTAAAACTAACTCAAGGCCCTGTCTCAAACAGTACAAAAAAAGCTAGGGTACAGCTCAGCAATAGATTGGGGCAGGCGGGGAAGCAAAGCAAACAAAAACCCTCACAAAACAAAATAAAAACAAACTAGGCGTGGTAGTACATGCCTGTAATCCCAGCACTCAGAGAGGCTGAGGCAGGAGGACTGCCACAGTTCAAAGCCAACCTGGGCTCCATAGTGAGTTGAAGGTCATTCTGAACTGCATAGTGAGACCCTTTCTCAAAATAAAACCAAGCCAAGCAAAACAAATTTAACTCTCAAACCAAAAGACATCTACATTTGCCATTATTTTAATTATGAATTTTGGCTTAAATATTCAAGAGACAAAACCTAGTTAACCAAATTGTTCATAATGTCCTTAGAATAAGAAAAAACATACATACATATTTAAGGAAGTCCTTGTATTCTTCATACTATAAAAATTTTCTTCCAAAGATCGTAACATAAACATGTAAAAAATAACAATATCCTTTTAAAAGAAAATGTTTCTTATAGCCTTATAATAGACACTGTGTTTCTTATAAGCTTCCTCAAAGTAAGTAGAAAATGGCAAATAACAAAAGAATTCTACAAAAGTATACTTTGTTCAGGAATCTACTAGATTAAAAACCAAAAGCATTTTTTTCTTCTGCAGTGCTGGGGACTGAACCCAGGGCCTTCAGGGTGAGCTACACCCACCCCTGGTTCCACTTTGGTTTGGGTTTTCAGACACTGTGGTCCTCCCTCCTGCCCTAGCCGCTCAGAGCACAGGGATTAGAAGTGTGCACCACCATGTCAGCTCCAAAAGAGTGACTTCCAATGACTCAAAGAACAAACTGTTTTCAAGAACTTCTCAGTACACCCATTCTTTGGGCTGAAATTTGATAAACGAGTGCTTATATCAACCTGTCACCTATGAAATAAGACCCACATTCTTCAATACGCTGCGGAGAGAAAACAATGGAGAAGCTTAAACTGAAATATACATGAATTCCACCTCTGCTTAGAGACCAATGAAGGTGCTGACCTACATTCCTATGACTCAGAGGATGTCCATGTATAATTCGCTTCTAAGAATTAAAACATATTTTATCTGTAACAACTTTCTTTTTTTTTTTTTTCTTTTTTCTGGTCTTTTTGAGACAAGGTCTTGCAATATAGTTCAGGCTGGCCTTTTTTTTTTTTTTTTTTCTTTTTTCTGGTCTTTTTGAGACAAGGTCTTGCAATATAGTTCAGGCTGGCCTTGAGCTCACTTTGTAGCCCAAGCTGGTCTCGAACTCGCAACAATCCTCCTGCCTCAGCCTCCCGAGTGTTGGGATTACAGGCGTGCACCACCACTCCCGGCCCTGTAACAACTTTCTAAAACAGCAACAATGCATTATTCAAGCAGTCTTCTCATAGGCAAGTGATACATTGTCGAAAATGCAAAGAACTTTTCACATAAACTCTAATATTTACTGTTTATTACTATACAGAAATTTGTTCCAAAGCCAAAAAGAACTATGCCCTACTTGCTACTCTAACCCGAAAAAGTGTTGCCTCCTTGACCTAACATTTAGTCTAGTGAAACAACATTACTCATGCACTCGCTCACAAATATTTACTGATCTCCTATTGCTGCTCAGTGGTGTTCTAAGAGTTAGCAATACACAGGTAAATAAAGCACATAAGCCAGCGCTCATGGCGCTCACACTGTAGTACACAAGATGTATGTAAAATGAGCGCATTTAGAAATTAAAGTCAGCCGGAGGTGTGGCTCAGTGGTAGAGCATATGCTTAGCACGGATAAAGCCCTGGGTTCAACACTCAGCATCAAAAACAAAAAAACAGAAAGCACTGCCATGCCATAAAGAAGTACTGTCAAATGAACTGAAAGAGAACGCCTGGGGCAGAGGCAGTTGTCAGGAAAGGTCTGCATGAGGAAGGACCAAGTAGCCACTCAGTGCAGAGAGTTCGGGAGCAGAAGGCTGGGTGGCTGGGCCGAGGCTGAGCCAGGGAAGGCGGGGGGCTGATGCCAGGGAACAGGGAAGGCGCGCAGTGTGGGGAGGGGTCTGATGACACTGAATGCACACAGAACGAGAAAAAGAGCAGGCATCTGCGACAGCCTTTTCAGTCCAAAAGCAAATCTAAAAACATCAGGTGAGCTTCCTCCATCTTCTACCTGAGCTTCGGCCATGCACGTGTGCGCCCGCACCAGCTGGGGCGGAGCTGGAGCCAGGGCTGGTGCCCATTTCTGGTTCTCAGCACCCTCATCTGTCGGGGAGAGAGCTGGGCAAGAGAACGCAATCTCCTGAGCTCAAAAGGAGGACTCCACACTGGGTTACGATACCCGTGAGTCAGCCCAAAGACAGCACCAAGGAACCACAGCACCTTCCAGCAAATTCAGTGAAGTAATAACCACCCCTGAGCAAGCGCTGTGCTTAACGCCTGACGCACCATTCAAATCTCACGAAATCCTATACAGTGGATGCTGTATTATCCTCATTTTACAGATACGGAAATTCAGAGCTAGAGAAGTTAACTTAAACCAGGAGGTGGTAGAGACCCACTTTAAAACTAGGGCCCTGTGATCTCAAGCCAGGTCTACTCACTCAGTTTTATTATTTTCTCGAATTCTGCATGACCCCTATCATAGTAAGTTTCCCGAACATTCCTTTAGAGGGAAATGGCACAGCCTGCCTTGTTTTTCACAGGGTCATTTTTTCATAGGGTGTTTTGGTTTTGTTTTCTGCTTCTCTTTTGTTTCATTTTCCTGTGAGGGACACCAGACCCAAGGCCTCACACTCGCTAGGCTGTATCCCCAGCCCTCTCTAAAGAGAGATTTCTAATGTTTACCTAAATAAATTTCAGGGAATACTCCGGCACTTCTCCCTCTAAATATTGTGGAAAATCTGGGAAGAACAAAGTAATGGCATTAGATAATCACACGCATGAAGCAGAGGCTGGATATACATCTGTTATTAAATGACAGCCAAGGGGCTGGGGATTTAGGTGAGCGACACAGCGCCTGCCTGGCAAGCGCAAGGTTGTGAGTTTGATTCCCGGTACCGGAAACAAAACAAAACAAAACAAAACAAACAAAAAAAATAAATAAATGACAGCCAATACAAATTCACTACGTAGAACTAAGAAACAGAGGTTCAATGTTTACAACATTTTCTAGAGTGGAATTTTTGTTTCCTAAATATATACAAGATCTAAAATTAAGTTACAGAGTACTGGCTATCATTAGTCCTGAAACCATTTGCTATAAAAATGTGAAAAAATTAGCAGTGAAGATATAATTACATTATTTCATGCTGTTGATCAGTTAAGATTTCTTATCAGTACTATAACATTTTTTTTTATTTTTTTTTTTTTATTTTAAGGAGAAAAGGAGGGAAACATTAACAGACATACAACATTTTACAACATATCACAAGCACAATACAGACAATACAGAGTTACAAACAAAGTGGTAGGGAATTAACAATGGTGGTTGTATTACATATTGATATCTTCAAAGTGGCTTCTCATGAAAACAGATATAGACATGCAATACTGGTCAACCAAAGACTCATTGACAGTTTCTTTCAGCATAGAAACAGCAGATAGAAGAACAACAGGATAGATAACATGGTTGTTCTTCTATCTTATCAGTACTATAAATGATTAGAAGCCCTGACCACATTTAGCTGTTGGTTTATTTCTAAGGGTCCCGGACTAAAGGAGAAGCAGCGGCAAGTCCCAGCCCAGCTACTTCCTCCCTTCCCAGCTGTGCCTGCCTCGTGACCCGGGCATCCTCAGCGCTCCGGGTGCGGCCAGTGGCTGGGGCAGTGGACATGACTACAGCAGGGCGGGTCCGGTGAGTCCTCTGT